AGGTTTGTAGGATGGTGTGATGATAATTCTTTGATTTTAAATGTAAATGTCCTGTAATAATACATGGAAAGTTTATTGAACAGGTTTCATCGCATAAATACTTGGGTGTTTATATGAACAATTCTTTATGTTGGTCTTCTCCCATCAACAGTCTGTGTTCTAGACTGCAGCAGAGGTTATATTTTTTTGTGAGGGTTAAAAGTATTTGGGGTAAATCAGAGGATTTTATTTCTGTTTTATTAGTCTGTTTTTGAGAGTTTGATAAGATATGGTATTACAGCATGGTATGGAAATCTGACTGTCCAATCAAAATCGAAACTTGCTAAACTTGTACATATTGCTTTAAAAATTGTAGGTTGGGAAGCGAAACGACATATTCATGATATAATATATTAATAATATATTAATTTTAATATGTTACCTTCAGGGAGATGATTGAGGATTTTGATATAAATCAAATCGTTAAAAAAATTATTTTGTGCCAACTTTAAAACAACATGTTTTGTATTTACAGTGGTAGCCAAATTTAAAAAACGCGTCCCGGGCCCCCTCTCCCTCACCGGGCCCTTGGAATCATCCTAACCCTCCTATATCATCCTAATCGTCCTATAGTTCAAGAACCAACTTCATAATATATTAATCAAAATGTGCCTCTGGCACCAAAACAGAGTTTAATGAGTATTTTGTAAAGATTGGGTACAATTTAGCAAAAGAGATTGTGGAGCAGAGAACTGGGGATAGGATAGATGAAATGAATATTTCCAGTAATGATTACTCAAAGTTTAATAGGGGAGTTGACGAAAAGGAAATACTTGACATTGTTAATAATTGTAAGAACAAATATTCTACTGATTGTAATGATATTGACATGTCATTAATACAAAATATTATAGAATATATAGTAAAACCACTTACACACATTTGTAATCAGTCCTTTTTAACAGGCATATTCCCAAGTAATATGAAAACAGCTGAAGTTATTCCTATTTTTAAAAGTGGAGATAGGCATCTTTTTTCCAACTATAGACCAATTTCTCTTCTTTCCCAGTTCTCACAAATTCTAGAGAAAATATTTGTGCGCAGGATTGATAATTTTATAGACAAACACAAATTATTGAGTGATCATCAGTATGGCTTTATAACAAACAGGTCGACCTCAGTGGCTGTGATGGAACTGGTAGAAGAGATTTCTTCTTCAATGGATAATAATGAATATACTGTGGGGGTGTTCCTAGATTTAAAAAAAGCTTTCGACACTATTAATTAATGATGAAACTGGAGAGATATGGTATAAGAGGAAAAGCCTTTGTTTGGATAAAAAGTTACCTCGATGACAGATATCAGTTTGTACAAATAAATAATGTTAAATCAGATTTAATGAAAGTTACTTGTGGTGTTCCGCAAGGTTCGGTGCTAGGCCCCATATTGTATTGTGCGCTCATAGTTCCATACATTACTTATTGTGTGGCGGTGTGGGGTCATACATATAAAACCAATATAAATTAAATATATATGTTACAAAAGAAAGCTATTAGGATTGTTAAAAGGGTTGATTATTACGAACCAACAAACAAATTGTTTATTAATTTAGATTTAGTTGATTTATATACATCACAGAAAATGTACAAAGTTTATAATAATTTACTTCCAAATTGTATTCAGAGGCTGTTCAAAATAAGAGAAAGTCAGTATAGTCTAAGAGGATTGTATATGTTTAAAAAAGTAAGGGCAAGAACTAATGCAAAAAGTAGGTGTTTGTCTGTCAAAGGGGTAAATCTATGGAATAAATGTGATAAGGAATTAAAATTATGTAATTCACTTTGCAAATTAAAATTTTTTATAAAAATAAGGTGATAAATTATTATATGACTCAGTATCAATAATTGTTTGTGTATTGTTAAAATGTTGAAGTAATAGCTGGATTGCGTATTTTTTATGTTTGTTTTGAATTATGTATGTACATTTTGGGAAATGTTTATGTAACATTGTTTATCTTGTATTATCTAACTTAGTGAAAAGTGTCGCTCATCGGTTAACTATGTATAAAGGGTAGGCATAATAAGGCTTCGGCCTACACCTTTTTCGATAATTATGTTTATTTATTTATTTTTGTGAAAAGTTGTCTGTGAGGACCGAAATAAAATTATTGATTGATTATAAACCCAAAACCAGGTAAGCCTGGAATAGAATATTACAAAATAAATCAAATATTAGATAACATTAAAAAAAGACAAATTCATTACTTTGGAATTCACTACTGTGTCCTAGGAAATGAGTCATTTCTCTTAACATGTGGTCAGTAATGAATTGGAAGCAGATAGTGGACGTTTGAGTTAGCAATCCATTCTCCCTGTTATTTTCACACGTATACCAAGATAAACGAATGACTTCCAAAGCAGACTTGGACTGCACTACCTGACCAAAAGAAAAAACAACAACAACAGCAAGTCAATCGTTGTGCTTAGTATGTTTAGTAAATGAAAAAAGCTTATTGAGCTCAATTTTTTCAGAAATATAATACCCCTATCACTGCTATGCAAACGATACCCAATTTTATTTGCCAATAAACTTAGATAGTAAAGGCGCTGTAACCAGTGTGCTGAACTGCTTTGATGAAATTAATACCTTGATGGCTAGTAACTTCTTGCAGCTAAATGATTCCAATCCCAAAGTGCTGATCCTATAGGCTTTGTCTCAGCTTTTCAAATTCAGTTAGGTTCCCACTTATCTAATGTTCAGATCTCAGAGTCTTGTTTGACATCTATTATTTGAAGAGCAAATTAGTGCTGTCTGGAGCAGCTTTTTACATCTCAGGGCTATCACTAAATTGAAATAGTTCTTTTCCAGGAATGACATGGAAATAGTGATTCATGAATCATGTCCTTAATAGATCAAGGCTTGACTGTTGTAATGTGCTTTATGTCGATTTACCTCAATTATCTCTACAGCTGGTGCAGCTGGTGACCAAAAAAAGAGAGTACATTACTCTGGTTCTTGCCTCTCATCATTGGTTGCCTGTGAAGTTTCGTATTGATTTTAAGATTCTGTTGTTTGTATTGAGGCCTTGGTTGGGTTGCCCCTCAATAATCTTTTGACCCCCTACTCCCCATTGAGACAGCTGAGATTCTTTTTTGGTTGTTTTGGCCCCAAGTTTGTGGAACAGTCTCCCATTTCATGTTAGGTCTGCCCCTTTTTTGTCTGGTTTTAAATCAGTACTTAAAACATTATTATTCTTTAGCATTATTGTCTGGGGTGTTGAATTTTATCATCAATGATTGATTCTTGTTTTTATTTGTCTGTCTATTCAGTTCTTTAAAACAGCATGTTTTGTATTTAAATGTGATAAAAAAAATAAAGGAAACCAAATAGAATTGAATAGTTCAAGAACCAACTTCATAATACATTCATCAAAATGTGCCTCTGAGATCACTGAGTGAATGAGAGGCATCAAATCCAAAACCAGGTAAGCCTGGAATAGAATATTACAAAATGAATCAAATAGTAGATAACATTTGTTTTTTAAATCATTATGTTGGAAGTCAGTACTGTGTTCTGGGAAATGAGTCATTTTTCTCTCTCAGTGTGTGGGTGAGTAATGAATTGGAAGCACTCGGATAGAGGACGTTCGAATTAGTGATCCATTCTTCCTGTTATTTTCACAAATATACCCAGACAAACTAATGACTGCCAAAGGTGCCAACTGCAAAGGTGCCAACTTGCTTGGACTGCACCTGGCGTATAAAAAAAAAAAAACAAGCTGTGTGCTTAGCATGCTTTGTAAATGAAAAGCTAATATAGTGAGGTATTTATGCTCCTTCTCTGCTGACGTGAGCGCCTTGCCTTCTACAAAAATCAAGAACTGACAATGTGAAAGATATTTACATTTGGCATCTGATCTCTGTTGCTGGTGGCTTAGTAACAAAGAAGGAGCAAGAGCGTATTATTGTGTTCCCACGGTCATCAGGTCTCAATACAGTATGTGCTCCACACAAAACATATGCAGATGCTGTTAATAAGGAAACTGTCATATGTGGTTGATATTAGTGAAAATGTTTAATTATTTGATGTATTTATTTGAAAAGGTATGACACATATTGTTTCACATACATTTTTAGGATCTCCAGCTACAAACAATAATTAAAGGTATAATGAATACAATATAAATAAAGAGCTGAAGTAAATAATAATAGTAAATTAATTAATTAATTCATAAAGTATGAAAAATCGTTAAACGATGCATATTCTACCAGTGTTCTCTAAGACCAGAAACAGGACAGTTTATCCAAAAATTACAAGTTTGGTTATCATTTACTTACCCGCATTTCGTCCAAACCTGTATGAATTTCATTCTTCTGTGCAACACAAAAAATATATTCTGGACTGTTTTAGCTGTCATTGACTTCCGTATGAACTAAACACTGAGGCATTACTCAAAACTATTACATTTCTCAAAAGCTGTTATGGTTCCACAGAAGAAAGAAAGTCATACAGTTTTGGAATGACATGAGGATGATAACGTTTTCATTTTGGGCTTTATCCCTTTAACATTTGGTAACTTTATAATCAGCTTTCATTGAATTAAAAGCAGACAGTGTGACTGTTTAAATGGTTTCCCCAAAGTGATAATGTTTTATATAACAGTTCATTATTTACTTAATAATCACTGTAATTTAATGTTGAGTAATTTACATGTTAGACACAATATTCCCTGTTACTTTGTGTACATAATGTTATTAAGCACATTAATTAAGGGGCATAATTTCGCTAGAAGATCACAATCCAATGCTGCTCATATTAATATGCTATTAACAGACTGAGTGACTTTGTCTTTTAAGTTGATGTGGGAGGAGAGCCGTTTTCACCGTTGTGGCTCGCGTTCACATTCCCGCTGCTTAAAGCTGTGTCAGAATGAAAGTGATCTTCACACCGTTTGCACCTAAATCTGGAGGACATCATCGCTGCTGCAGCTTCATTAGCGGTTATGCAGAAACAACAATAGTCCACAAGGATGATTGTTCTCTTCTTACTGATTTTCAGAGGCGATGCACTTCTTCAGTGGATTTGGGACTTCATATATGCGGAACATCATGTGCTCCTCATGTCACCCCACATAAGCGTGTGCGCAGCTTTTAGCACTCATCTCATCTTCTCTGCTCCCTTCATGCTTCTGGATGTGTTCAGTCCATACGTGGGATGGCTCCATAAGTACAGGATATGCCGTGAAGTCGTTGGCTTGCATCAGTGGTTTCGATGTGCTACTCGAATTTTATGGAAATACGTGGTTGGCGTTTTACCGTTAACTGCGCTGTTTCTGTCGGTACGGCGCACGCATTTCCCGGAGAGAGCACCGTCTTGTTTCCATGCCTTCAGGGAATGTGTATCGTGCATGCTCATATTCGATACGCTCTTCTTCTTTTGTCATTACACCATTCACAAGTAAGCATCACACATCTCACATGACAGAATGTGGAGCTTCCAACATTACACGTGTGGAGCTTTGAAACTTTGAATGACAAAGTTTTAAAGGGGTCATATGATGCTGCTAAAAAGAACATTATTTTGTGTATTTGGTGTAATGAAATGTGTTCATGCGGTTTAAGGTTATATCATCCTCTTTTGGAAGGCCAACCAAAGTAGTTTCGCTTTCACAACGAAGCACACAGCGCCTTCAGGACATAGCGGCGGCAACAACAATACTACAGTGAGAATAATAGTTACGCCTTCTTTCTTTGCGTGAATATTTGGGCGGCATTATGCAAATCTTCCCACATAGTGATGTAGACATGTTGGGGCGTGTTAGAACGAGCCGTTTTAGGTAGGCGTGGCTGACTCTTAACTTCTATAAAGAATATCTCTTTGGATTTGAGACTTTGCAACTTTACAGATCTTCTTTATGCACCAAGAGCTTGTAACACTCCAAAGAGAAAGGAAAAATTGAAATCGCATCATATGACCCCTTTAAATCTTATAATCATTTATTGTCATTTTTAACATGTTTTATTAAATTAAACGCTAATCTACACTGGTAGGCTATTGGAACCGGCTGGCATTCTCAAGAATATCCGAATAAACACAAATTATTTATTTTTAAAAAGTGTTTAGTCTGTCCTCATAGGACACATTTGAAAAGTTACAGCCTTTTAGCTTGGCCTTTAGGCTACAGCTTTGAAAAATACATCTTTTTGTATGTATATGAATCAAATTTGACGTTTCACATTTTGTAAAAAAAAAAATAAATAAAAATGTAGTTTTCGCCTGAAGACACACATGAAGTGGGTATAGTTTATGAGAAAAAAAGATGGGTTTTGAGCACAGTTAATGCTTTTCATATTGCTTTAATGTGTTCTTAGCTTAGTGGGTTTATTAAGAACAACAGGGGTCATTAGCGCATCCTTAAAAGCCCTATGGCACTATTTGAAAAAAAAAAGATACTTATGGATATTTTTAGATTATAATTATATAGGATTATTAAATTAATAATTAAAATTTAATTATAATTTAATAAATGTAATAGCCTAATTTTAATTTAATTTATTATTTCAATATAATAATATTGCTTTTATATAACCTAATAATAATAATAATAATGCATTCACCAGATTTGAGAAAAATAGCTATGGTGGAAAATAACTAAAAAATGAAACCTTTAACACCAGATGAAAATGAAACATGACAAACAAATGCTATGGAATTGCTATGAAACAAATAAATAATCTCATGTTTTCTGTTCTGTAAGGTTTATATTGTCATAAATATGTGAGATATTATAAAATGCCAAAAGTGATTTAAATTAACCAGGAGCAGAGAATCTTTGGTGAAAATTGTCCCAGAGCGTTTTAATGTTTCTTTTCGGTCAAATTGCAGATCGTATGGCAATTCCAAAAGCTGACCTGAAAATGAGATTACCGAATCTACTCACCTGCTAGTGTAGTTCAATGTGTAGTTGTGTAGTGTCTAGTGTAGTTTATATAGGTTTCAGAGTAGACAAGACACGTAAAGCATGGATCTGGCCAGATTACAAAAAAATCTCTGTATATGCTAGAAGCATGTGCATTAGCAGTGCCATGACTCCAACTACTTTATAAATTTAGATTCACAAATATAAGGAACACACATAAACATGTGCACAGCTCAAAATTTCATATAGAAAAAACACTCACATCCATTCCTCTTTCATAATCTGTTGATGTCATTATCACATCTCACTCTTGTTGTCTCCACTTGTAACTTTAGCAAGGCCCATATTTATGCATAATTTATGTATCTATTTATATTAAATATTTGAATTCATATTTATATTATATATAATATTATTATATATAACTACATAAAATGTCTGTATTTTTCCCAGAACTCCCTGGCTGTACCACAACGTCCACCACATTCACCATCAGAACAGGGACACTTTTGCTCTGGCAGCTCAAGACTCCAGTATTTCTGAACTGCTGTCTCTACAAACCCTTGCATTTATAAGTGCCATGCTTGTGGGCTGCCACCCTTTTAGCGAAATCCTTTTCCATCTGGTTAACACCTGGTTGGCTGTGGAGGATCACTGTGGATATGACTTTCCTTGGTCCCTGCATCGGTTGTTGCCGTGCTTTGGCGGGGCACCGTACCACCTGGCCCACCATCAGCACTTTAAAGGGAACTTCGCCCCTTACTTCAGACACTGGGATTACATCTTTGGGACCTCATTGCCCATTTCAGTGAATGAGAGAGGCCATAGATAGGGTGAATCCAGCTCAGTTGGGCCATTACAGGACAGTGAGAATGAGACTATTAAAAGTGTCCCATTGTATCTGGTTTCACCCTATATGAATTGACATATAATAAACCAGTTTTTGCAAAGATTTTCAAAATTTCTTACTGGATTAATCCCAGTTTACCCAGCCTGGGAACATCAAGTTAATTCTGTTTATAATAATCAGATAGCTTGGATTCTTGGTCTGATTTTGTACTCAGCCTAAAATGTACATTTTGAAAACATTTGCATTACAACTTTTTCATGTTGTATATTTATCAAGTGTTTTTAGTTGTTTTGTTAAGGTTTGATAACATCAAACAGGTCTCTTTTACAAATGTTTCTGTATACAAATATAATTATTGCAGCTGGAAAATTTCTATTTTATTTTTAAACTTTTTCAATGTTTTATCTTATAGTCTGAGACAGTAAAACATTTTTCTGCCTTACATGGGTGGATTTTGGTATGTATTTTAATATACAAAAAAGCGTTCAAAAGTGCAAGGATGACTTCCGGTGAGAAGCGCAATGGAGTAGACGTGTTTGTCTATCTTCCCCGTCTAGCTTCGTTTATTCCTTCAACTACCCCACCGACTTTTTCGGACAAACTATAAAAACTAACAAGACGACTTTTGGATAACAGTGTCTGTCTAAAATGGCAACCAAAACAGCAAAAACATCTAAGAAAGAAGCCAACACGAGAGCCGAGGCGCCCGCGACCTCGAGCGAAGTGAACATGGCGGCTCTAACAGACTTGCTGGAAGAACATAAGAGTGGCCTTGGCGGCTGAGTTCAAGGCTGCGATCTCAACATTAGAAGTGAAACTTGACTGTGTGCAAGCTATGGTATCCGATCATGGACAGAGACTTACCACGCTTGAGTCCCATGCGGAGTCACTAGATGAACGGGTGGAACGTCTAGAAACTTCCCTCGCAACATTGACGGAGAGTAACGCAAAGCTTAAAGCCAAGACCGCTGATCTGGAAGCGCGGAGTAGACGGAACAACATAAGGATCATCGGAGTGCCTGAGTCGATAGAGGGTCCGCGGCCAATTATATTTTTCTCCGAGTTGCTTTTTGAAGTTTTTGGCGATCAAATATGATTTGGCGAAATTTGGATTCTCAGCGCGGCGGTTCTCAATAATCTGGTGTGCCTGACATTTGTGCCAAGAAGCGGAGCATGCTGAATGGCACCTTTGTTATTGGAACTATGTAAATTAGGAGCTGTATTAATCTAATACAGATTTCGGTTATCTGTTTTACATTGGCCATTCCTACTGTCTCGTAGCAGAGGTTGTTTTGCACCCGTTCAGATTTAACGACCTCTATTGCCTTTGAACTGCATTAGAAATTGTATAGTCGTTGTATGCCATATTTTTGATTGAACAAGCTTTATTCGATGGGCTGTTAAAGTACATTTTTATATATTATTTTGCGTTTGGGGGTTAAAATGTGTTATTGGGTAAATATAAGGTTTGCAGTATAAACAGGAGTGAAAAAGGAAGTAAGGTATCCGGAGAGATATGGAAGTTATTGTTTGGATGTTTAAGGGGAGGTTAGGGGTATCTGACTATTTTTACGGATCGATTTTTTTTTTCTTTTTTTTCTCTTTCTTTCTCTTTTGTATTTATCTCTTTTCTGCATCACATGGATCAGGGTCTTACAATAGTTATTCATGATTCAAATGGCTGGTAATACAACAATATCAAATATAAATATTAGTTTTATCTCTTGGAATGTAAAAGGTTTAAATAACATCGTAAAGACCAAAAAAGTTCTTTCACATTTACAGTCCCTTAAAGGAGATATAATCTTTTTACAAGAAACCCATCTTCGCACTTCAGATGTTTCTCGCATTAAGAGTGCATGGATAAGTCACTGTTTTCACTCCAAATTTGGTGTGAAGGCAAGAGGGGCAGCGATCCTTGTGCATAAGAACATCGCTTTTGAACCGGAATCAGTGGTTTCAGATCTGAATGGTCGTTATGTGATTGTGTCTGGAATTTTACAAACAATTCCAGTTGTTTTAGCATGTATATATGGCCCCAATTGGGACAATTTTTTTTCTGTACTCCCTAATCTTGATAGTCACCACATAATTATAGTGGGAGATTTTAATTTGGTTTAAAATACAATTCTGGACCGGTCTTCTTCAAAACATTCCACACTGTCCAACTCTGCCAGGCTCTTAGAGTCTTATATGGATTTTAAAATTTTATCTAAGATCCTTGCCCTTCGCCTTCAGCAAGTGTTGCCTGCTGTTATTTCCCCTGACCAGACAGGCTTCATGGCTGGTAGACACTCTTTTTATAACACCAGAAGACTTTTTAATACCATCCTTTCTTCGAGTTCCGACACTGCCGAGGTTATGCTGTCTCTCAATGCTGAGAAGGCATTCGACAGGGTTGAATGGGAGTATTTGTTTTTCATTTTAAATAAATTTGGTTTCAGCTCAAATTTTATAGCATGGATTCGATTATTATATTCTTCCCCTGTAGCCTCTGTGTACACCAATGCAACGCATTCTAAAACCTTTCCCCTTTGTCGAGGCACTCGCCAAGGTTGCCCCCTTTCACCTCTATTATTTGCATTGGCTATAGAGCCATTAGCTATTTGGCTGCGAAGTGAGGAAAAGTTTGAAGGCATTACTCGGTTTGTAACCTCTTATAAACTGTCTCTCTATGCAGATGACCTTCTTTTATATATAACTAACCCCACTTCATCATTACCACCAATCATCCAAATTTTTGATTCGTTTGGCAAATTTTCTGGTTACAAATTGAATCTACAAAAGAGCCAACTGTTCCCAATCAATTTAGCAGCTGAGACACTTTCTCAATATCTCCAAATTTGGTGTGAAGGCAAGAGGGGCAGCGATCCTTGTGCATAAGAACATCGCTTTTGAACCGGAATCAGTGGTTTCAGATCTGAATGGTCGTTATGTGATTGTGTCTGGAATTTTACAAACAATTCCAAGAAGAGGATTAACAGTTTTTTTTCTCTCTCTTTTTGGTTTTGTTTATTTATTTATTTATTTATATATTTGTTTTCCTTTGTACATCTATTGTATCATTTAATAACTACACTTACAGTATTATTGTTATTTGCATTAGTTTGTGTTATGTGGTTAAGATAATAGGGGTTGAGGGGGTGGGGGATTGGGAGGGAGAAAAGCAGAATTGTGGATTACTAATTTTTGTATATATAAGATGTTGTATCTGCACAAAATGCCAATAAATATATTTTGGGGAAAAAAAAAAAAAAGTGCAAGGATGTTTTTTTTTATGTTTCTGAAAAAAGTCTCGTATGCTCACCAAGGCAATGTGCATTTACAATAAAAACAGTAATATTGTGAAATATTATTACAAATTAAAATAACTGGATACTTTCTATAATAATGACACTTTTAGTCTTGAAGTACTAAAATGCGACAACGTGTGTCCAGCTTGAAATTCAATCAAATTCTGTTTCTGCACTCAAATTGAAAACATGGCATGGCAGTGAAGTTGGAGACAGATCAGTGGTAGTTTGCACTTAAAAGCTTTGGCTGAGCTGATCATGTCAGTCATTTGAACACTGATGTGACTCAACAGGGCTAAAACCACCCGTTTTACACCGATTTATTTCCCTAAAATATGGTTTGAGAAACGCTTTAATTTTAAGTTATGAGCCTGAGTCACTGCTGCGCATGCGCACTTTTGTGAGAAGGGTCTGGCTGCAGACTTGCACTCTCAGACTTGCATTCTCAGACTTGCACTCTCAGACACTTGCGCTTCCGCAATTGACATCACTTGCAGTCTTTTTTATTTTTTATTTTGTTCTATTTATTGATTACTTTTTGTTTGAATCTCTCAACGTTTTACAACAGTAGCCAGGTGGTGAAGACAAGAAAAAAGAAACTAAATTACAATGTCACTTGCAATCGCCACTTTCACTCTCCACTACCTGCGACGTCACTTGCAATCGACACAAATCGTGCATGTTGCCAATGGAGACAAGAAGCTGTGGTGGTGATTAAACGATTAAAACTAATTTTATACTATAACGTACAGGGTCCTGCAAGAAAAAGACAAGACCCGCAAATCCGTGGCCACAGAACAGCAGAATATGAACGCAATGCACAAAGTCTCTCGTTAAGCGTTTTCCTCCTGTAGAAAAACATAAACACTTAATATGGCGTAATGTATTAAGATACATTAAGTGCAATTAAAAGATCAAATTCGATATATAGTTATTATTTAATGTACTACAAGGCAAGCAGATGGCCATGAACACAATGCGCAAACTTTCACTTGACCTCCCATACAGCAAAACGCTTAATAGCTCAAGTGTCTGAGAGTGCAAGTCTGAGAGTGCAAGTGCAAGGCTGCAGCCAGACCCTTTTGGCTTTTGTAGCCCAAACTTAACTTCCAGTAGACTTCCGCAAAGAATCAATGACAACAAGTCCTTCTAGAGTAGATTATTTCTGATAACAAGCTAAATATGTTTGTGGCGTAAATCAGACGGGCTTATTGAAAATGCAAATTAATTCTCTGCCAGCAGGAGGTGCTTTTGGAGCGGCAGAGATAGAGGTTTCCCTGGTAACAGATGTACACAAAGCAGAGCTCCACTCACAAACGCTGTTTTATCAGGCATTACAGGCAAGACGAAATGAAAATGACATCGAAAATGTTCTGAAGACAGTCGTTTCCTTCAGAGATGCAGTGATAAAAAAACACCCGTGCTGCGTTTCTATTTTGAAAAGTGCAGTGCTCATATTTTTTCAATGAAGTCAAAGCCTTTTAGAAAATCTATTTGTGGCGGTCAGTTTTGATATTGTGGTGGATCGCCACAAATAAATCAATGTACGGAAAACATTGCATCCCACAGCACAACAACCTGAGCCCAACTTCAGTCAACTTTAACTGCATTTGTAGTCGGCACCACTAGCCAGACCGATAAACAAACACAGACCGGAAGTAAACTTTGGGCCAGGCGCGTGCACCCGAT